TCGTCGCTGTCGTCGTCGCTCTCGTCGTGCTCGTCGCGTTGCCTGTTTTGGCGCGACTGCAGGCCCATGCACCAGCACGGTGCGCGGAGCTGTCTATTGGGTCGACGGGCTCACGCGTAAAACGCGTGCTCCCACACCCCAGGTGGGCCATGCGCCGGCGTTGTGCCGTCACCGTGCTGGAGCAGCTGACCCGCGCCAAGCGGTGGGGGCAGCCTTCGGTGCGGGGTGCCCTGAACGGGCCTACGCCTACATGCGCAGCATCCTTTCCAGCGGCCGGGAAACCCAAGCTCGCCGGTCCAGATGCAGCGCTGGACGAGAGGCCGTGCCCGACGAGGAGAAACAAATTCCATCGGCCGGGAAGCCCAAGCTCGACGGCCCTGCAAAATCCTCTGCGGGAAGTTCCGGTCCGCCGGCCGGGAAGCCCGAGCTCGGCAGACCGTTGTCGACGACGTCTGCTGCAGGCTTCGTTCCGCCGGCCGGGAAACCCAAGCTCGGCAGGATCCGCCCGGGCGCTGCCGTCGAGGCAGCGGCGGGAGGAGGACGCGACACTTCTGGTAACTTCTGTTCTTCGGGGCGCCTCAGGTACGACAGCTCGTTGTCGAGCAGTTGCGCCCTGAAGGTGCGTAGTTGTTGCGCGTGTTCTGGCGGTGGTCTCGGCAGTTCCCGTTTTTGCTGGAGTTGCGGCGGTGGGCTTTTAAGAGTTTCGTCGTCAGAATGTTCCGCCGCAAAAGACCACGCAAGTTGCGCATCTGGGTGTTCGTGCGTGGACGGGCCTGCGCTCCAGTCAGGAACGTCGGACCACTCACCGCCATGCGTCCACCAACTGCTGTCGTCAGCTGTGAACGCAAACGGTTGTTTTCCACTGTTGGGCGGCCGCTTTTGCGGCAGCTTTCCCTTGGCAGAGCTGGGTTTCCAACCGTTGTAGCTTGCTTTCCCGCTTGGCTTACCTGCCTGGAAGCCTGGCGTGGGCGAGTGTTTGCCTTTGGTGCTGAAGGTTTTGTCTTTGCCCTTGCCTCTATTACCCCGGCCTGGAACGGCACTCCGGCCAGGGGCGCCGTGGCCTTTGCCTTTAGAAGTGGGGTCGCCTTTTCCTCTTGGTGGATGTGGACATTGGGCAATCCAGTGCCGTGGATCTCCACAGCGAAGCTAACAAGTAGTTCCATGCCAGGCGTCTTCGGACCACTCCTGCTCCTGCCAGGAAGCATCCGCCCAAGAAAACTCTTCGTCAACCCACTCTGGGCCGCTGGTGGCCCACTTGTCAGCTGTGAAGCCGGCGGGCTCTGAAGACCTGGCCAATAAATTCTCGTCAATAACCTTCTGGACAGCTTGCCTCGTGTTCTGCAACATGAAAATCGAATCGATATCCAATCGAATACTAAGGTTGGAAAGTTGTTGCTGCGTGAGCTCTGCATTAATGGTGAAAATTGAAGCCTTCACAAACTCATCCAGCTTTGCGAACTGGTCTTGTTCAAACTCGTTGATCAGCTTCGTGGACTCGTCCACGTACTGCTCAATCTTCAGGCTCCCTCTCCGAAACTGCAGCCGGCTAGAAAAACGGAGAAGTTTCGCTATGTCGTCTTTAGTGCGGTTTTCTTTCTGCATGAAGTCTAACAAATAAGTATATCCTAGCTTGCCTGTTGCACCCGTCTCGTCTTTCGGGTTCGACGACAGGCGCGCGATGTCCAGCAACCGGGCCTGGTTGCGGAAAGTGGCGCTGGCGGAAAAACCACGTGACTTCATGTGTGGACCAAGCTGTTCTTGCTTTAGTTCACTACTGTTTCCAGGCGTCCAGGTCTTCCTCGTACGAGGTCCATGACTGCTGTGGTCCGGCGATGGGGCACGCTTTCACTTCACTGCCGTCGAACGAAGCTGAAGTCATTAGTTTTCGCACTTCTTGGGAGCAGGTCGCGGTCCAGTGGAGCAACCTGCTCCGCTACCAACTTGAGGATGAATCAAGCGAAACCCATCCGGCGGAGGGCGCCCAGCAGGGCTGGCGGGCGCTGCTTTTTCGGGGCACCGATCGGCGCTGCTCAATGGCCCTAAATGGCGGCGGGAGCAAGCAGTGCAAGGAAGCGAACAGGAAGAGAGAAAAGAGACAAGAAGAGAGAAGGACAGGGATGAACTAAGATGGATGGGATCGGTTGTCATTCAAGAGGTCCTCCAGGAAGGGCCGCAGAGGCCAACATCAGTGACTTGCCTTAGGGTTTTGAAGGATCTCGACATGTGCTTTTTCTTTTCGGCCTTCCGACGGCCCGAGACGGCCCAAGAGTCCCCAAAGATCGCCCGAAGATGGCCCAAGAGGCCTCCAAGATGGCCCCAGAACGGCCCGAGAGGCCCCCAAGACGGCCCCAAGACGGCCCAAGAGGCCTGCAAGACGGCCAAGATGGCCTCCAAGACGGCAAAGATGGCCCCAAGATGCCTTCAAGACGGCCCAAGATGCACCCAAGACGGCCCAAGATGGCCTCAGGATTGCCCAAGAAGCCCCTAAGAGGCCTCCCAGACGGCCCAAGAGGCCTCCAAGAGTTCCTGCAGGAAGGCCCGAAGAGGCCAAAATCATTGATTCCCCACAAGTATTCGAAAGATTTTGGCATTTGCGCCTTGTCGGCCTTCCGACGGTCCGAGACGGCCCAAGAGCCCCCAAAGATCGACCCGAGATCGCCCAAGAGGCCTCCAAGACGGCCCTGGAGCACCCCAAGAAGGCCCCAAGTCGGCTCAGAGAGTCCGACGGCGTCAGACGGGCCAAAAATGCCATAAGACGGCCAAATAGGCCCGCGAGAAGCCCCGGAAGGTCCCCCAAAGGCCCAAGGAGGCTCCCAAGATGCCTCCAAGAGGCTCCCAGGAAGCTCCCAGGAGGCCCCAAGAGTGCCCCCAGAGGCTCCCAAGATGCCCCCTCCTCCCTTCCTCCTTGTCCTCCTGCTCCTCCTCCTCCTCCGCCTCCTCCTCCTCCTCCTGCTTTTCCCGCCGTCCTCCTCCAAGTGTTTCCCGAAGGGTTTCCACAACGGCTGGGGGAGCACATGGTCCGATAGCTTGGCAGAGCTCTTGCCACAACGCTCGGCCACATGGGCGATTCCAAAAGGCAGGGGGCGGCGGTGATTCGCCGTAGGCGCTTTCGATATAAAGAGCTCAAGCGGCCCAGACCTTTATACGGTCTGGCGCCAGAGGAGGAGGAGGAGGAGGAGGAGGAGGAGGAGGAGGAGGAGGAGGAGGACGAGGAAAAGGAGGAGGAGGAGGAGGAGGAGGAGGAGGAGGAGGAGGAGGAGGCGGAGGATGAGGAAAAGGAGGAGGAGGCGGAGGAGGAGGAGGGCACGAAGACGAGGAGGTGCGCCGCGAGCTCGGACTGCGGAGCCTCGAGGCTTTCGCGGCGGCCTGCCCCCGGACCTGGACGACGGTGACGGCGGCGGGGCGCTCGGCGTGCGCAGGCGCCAAGGCCTGGCTGCGCGCAGCCATGGAGCGCCAGGACAAAGCGCAGCGGCGCCTCGCGAGGCCGGGGCAGGAGCGGCGACGCACTCCGCTGCTCGCCTCCCTGCCGCGTATCCTCCTCCTCCTCCTCCTCCTCCTCCTCCTCCTCCTCCTCCTCCTCCTCCTCCTTACTGGAGCAGGCGAGCCTCTGCTCGGCCAGCGGGAGAGCGCTGGGAGCTGGCCCCTCCCGTCCACGGAGCCAGACCGCGCCGGGGGCCAGCGCAACTTGCCTCTGGCGCCGCCCCGACGGCTCCTGCTGCGGGGCTGACCTGCGCGCAGACCCTGGGCATCCTCTGGGTTGCCCGATCGGGGGCTGCACGGTGTTGAAGCACGACGGCGTCCGGGACTGGCTCGTGCGCTGGCTGGCGGCGCGGGGCGCTACGGGCGTGAGGACGGAGCAGTTCGTCCCCGCGTGGGACAGGCCGCGCCCGGACGGCTCCCTTGAGGCCGCGCGGCTGGCTGGACGTGGCCTTCACCGACCCGGTCGCTGGGGTCACCTACGCCGACGTGGTGATCGCCGACGCGTCCCTGGGCGCGTGCACGTCCGCTGGGCGAAGCCGCGCGGCGCGCGATGGGGACGCGGTGGCGGCGGCGGCGGCGAAAACCCGCGAGCACCGGCGCTACTCGGGCCCTGCCCTGGTCGCCTTTGCTTTGGGAGCGCTGGGGCGAGCCAGGAAGGAGGCGCAGGCGCTGCTGAGGAGCTGGGCGAAGGGCGACGCACCGACGCTGAAGGCAAAGCCTGGCTGTCGCGCTGCAGCGCGGCAGCGCGGAGGCCTACCGCACGGCCACCCTGCCCGCTAACGCGGCGCGGCGCCTGGCGGGCCCCGGCGGCCCTGGCCCGCCCGAGCGATGCGCCAGACTGAGAGCGCTGAGGCCTCGGCGGCGCGGCCCTCGCTGGGCTGAGCAGCCCACGCTCGGCCGACGGACGCCGCGGCGACCCCGGCGGCACGGGCGCAGCCAGCGCACCGCAGAGCTGGGCCGCGCGCTGGGCAGCTGACCGGGCGGCGGGCGCCCCTCCTCCTGCAGCGCCGGGCTGCGCTGGGGCTGGGCTGCGCTGGGCGGACAACACTGGCCGGGCCGGGCGCGCTCGCAGCGGCAGCCGAGCGGGGCCGGCACGCCGGCCGGGCGGCAGGCGCCGCGCGGCTGCCGGGCTCGAGGCCGCCAGGCGGAGCCGACAGGCGGGCGGCCGCGGCTGGCCCGACTGGTGCGCTGGCTTTCCGGGGCCTCGCGGAGCTGGCCGCGATCCCAGGTAACGGAATCTATAGGCCCTGGCTGGTCGACCCCTCCCCCATGGGAGTGGCCGCTGTCTGAGGCAGCCGGCCACCCCCGGGGGTGCCGCGCCCCCTGAGATGTGCGGACCGGCTCCCGACCACTGTGCTCTGGGTGGCGCGGGCGAACACGCGCCGCCAGGAGGAGGAGGAGGAGGAGGAGGAGGAGGAGGAGGAGGAGGAGGAGGAGGAGGAGGAGGAGGAGGAGGAGGAGGAGGAGGAGGAGGAGGAGGAGGAGGAGGAGGAGGAGAGAAGAGGAGGAGAAGAGGGGTCGGAGGGAGGGGGAGGTGGATGACTATGAGAAGGGAAAGAGAAGGTCCATCACTGAAACCAAATCCATGCGGCTGGACAGGCAGTATAATACAGTGGCTGAGACATTGCACAGCATGGGATCCCAATGCGAACTCAATAAATAACGAGCCGCAAATGCAGGGCACACGATAAAAGAGAGAACACGAATGATGAAGATGAAAGGGGAATGGGGGAAAGAGGATGAGGAGCTACGATGACAAGAGGGATAAACACCAGGAGGAGAAAGAATTAGCCTGGCGAAGGACCCAACCATATGCAGTTGTGAATACCGCAAATATGAATATCGTTTTCGGTGGCGCTACCTCTGGGTAGGGGAGACGCATGCGAACACCCCCACTGGGGCCTACGGTGGAGCCCCCTTATGGGGTCACGAAACGCTGCCCTGGGTGGGGGAACCGCATGCGGACACCCCCACTGGGGCCTTCGGTGGAGCTCCCTATGGGGCCACGAAACGCTGCCCTGGGTGGGGGAACCGCATGCGGGCACCCCCACTGGGGCCTTCGGTGGAGCTCCCTATGGGGCTACGAAACGCTGCCCTGGGTGGGGGAACCGCATGCGGGCACCCCCACTGCGGCCTTCGGTGGAGCTCCCTATGGGGCTACGAAGCGCTGCCCTGGGTGGTGAACCGCATGCACCCCCACTGGGGCCTTCGGTGGAGCTCCCTATGGGGCCACGAAACGCTGCCCTGGGTGGGGGAACCGCATGCGGGCACCCCCACTGGGGCCTTCGGTGGAGCTCCCTATGGGGCCACGAAACGCTGCCCTGGGTGGGGGAACCGCATGCGGGCACCCCCACTGGGGCCTTCGGTGGAGCTCCCTATGGGGCTACGAAGCGCTGCCCTGGGTGGGGGAACCGCATGCGAACACCCCCACTGGGGCCTTCGGTGGAGCTCCCTATGGGGCCACGAAACGCTGCCCTGGGTGGGGGAACCGCATGCGAACACCCCCACTGGGGCCTTCGGTGGAGCCCCCTATGGGGCTACGAAACGCTGCCCTGGGTGGGGGAACCGCATGCGGGCACCCCCACTGGGGCCTTCGGTGGAGCTCCCTATGGGGCCACGAAGCGCTGCCCTGGGTGGGGGAACCGCATGCGGACACCCCCACTGGGGCCTTGCGGTGGAGCTGCCACCCCCACTGGGGCCTTCGGTGGAGCTCCCTGTGGGGCCACGAAGCGCTGCCCTGGGTGGGGGAACCGCATGCGGGCACCCCCACTGGGGCCTTCGGTGGAGCTCCCTATGGGGCTACGAAACACTGCCCTGGGTGGAGGAACCGCATGCGGACAGGAGGAGGGGGGGGGTGGATAGGAGGAGGGAGGAGGAAGGAATGAATGAAGGAAGGAAGGAGACGCGGGGCGCTGTCTCTTCAAACCGAGGACCCAACACCACAGGATGGTTGGGAACAACGATGGAACAATACTGAAGAGAAGGATACGTGATATCAGGAGGATGGTAGACAACGAGGAGGATGGGCATGACCATGCGGTCGAACTTGCAAACTATGATGGACAATGTATAGCATTACGCGTTTGTTTCCTTCTTGCCGTCCGTTTTTTTTTTTTTTTTTTTTGGGGGGGGGGGGCAATCCAAGAAGATCCGACTGAAGCCGCAGTGCTCGAGCACATACTGAGAAGCAAGCTTCGTCATATTCCTCGGCGTGATTCGTCCCCCAACCTTGTGCTCGAGGCGCCAAAGGCCTTTGGATTTGGAATCGGCTTCGCCGAACACCAGAACTCTCTGGGAACGTGTCCTGAAAAGTATTCTAAGGCGAATCCAGCCTTGGCGACGAGGGCTCCCCAGACGGCCTAGAAAAGGGCGATCAACTCATGAGTCCCTCCCCCGCTCCTCCTCCTCCTCCTCCTCCTCCTCCTCCTCCTCCTCCTCCTCCTCCCCCTCCTCGCCATCCTCCTCCTCGCCATCCTCCTCCTCCTCATCACCCCCCCTCCTGCTCCTCCTCCTCCTCCTCCTCCTCCTCCTCCTTTCCCCTTCTTCTCATCCTCCTCCCCATCCTCCTCCCTCCTTCTTTTAACACTATGGCCCAAGGCTATGGCAGCGCGTCATTGGATGACGCGCGGTACAGCCCAATTGGCCCAGCTGGCCTTTCTCGTACCGCAGGTCCGCGCCGTGTCCCGCGAGGGAGATGATGTCCTGGTCCGCCAATGGCTGCGCCGTGGCGCATGCGCGCGTGCGCGAGGTCGGCGGCTGCGGCGGCGGGCCTGGTGGTGGCACTCTGCTCCGCGACGGGGACACCAGCTTCGCGCCCATCGCCGGACGCGAAGGCGCGGCCGCTGCTGATGGCGGTGGCAGAGCTCCGCCTCGACGCCTGGCAGGAGGAGGCCTCCGGACGGGGGCTGGCGGCGCAGAGGCGCAGCGGCAGTGGGGCTGTCCTCTCGCCGTGGAGCGCGGCGCGCGCGCGGTGGGTGGACAGCGCCGCGGCGCTTCTGCGCCACCCAGGCCAGGCTGGTCAAGCGCTGCAGAGGCTAAGGAGCTGCAAGAGCGTGCGCCAAAGTCGCCCACCCCGCCCAGGTCCAGGGTGGAGAGCGAGGCCGTGTGTCACGAGCCTCTCGGTGGGCTACTGGTGGTCCCAGTATGGACGAGGGTGGGTCCATGTCTGAAGCCGCCCTTCGAACCGGCGGTGGCATCTTCTACGCGGGCAACAGGGAGGTCCCATGGCGTCGGGACCTCCGAGGCGGAGGGGAAGCAATAGAATATCCAGGCGGTGCTCAAGGACTCTTGAGGTGTGCAGAATAAGGTGGAGGATCATGATAGCTTCAAGGAGCGCGCTAACGCCTTAGAGCACGAGCAGACGTAGCAGACCACGATCTTCTCAACAACGACCTGCACTCGCAGTGGGGGAACGCCATAAGAAATGGAGCTTCGATGCCACGCACCTCATCAGCACCGTCATGAATCAGCTTGAAGGCCACATCCGGGCTCTCACCCTCAAGCTCGTGGCTCTTGAGGAGCTGCAGGAGCTCGCGACGGAGCTAAAGCAGGAGCAGATAGACTTGCAGCTGAAGCTGGGCAAGCACATTGCCGACCAGAAGCCGAATAAGACTGAGCAGCAGCAGCAGCAGCACAACCAGGGCGAGGCCACGGACGTATTGCCTAGTGTCCAGGATTCGTCCAAGCACTTGCCGAACCACGCACGGATTTGGAGAAGTGTTGGCAGGCTGTGGAGGACTCGGCGAAGCTGCTGACTTGCATGTCGCTCGACCCTGTGATTCGGCCCCTGTCTCCGACCCTCCTGCTCGCCTGTGCCAAAGCACATGCGGGTGCAGGCCGTGTGCTCGCAAGTCGTGGTTGATTTTACGCGCGCGCCGCGGGGATGTTGCCCCCGCCCTCCAAAGTTCAAGCAAGCGCCTCGAGGTGTGCGGGCACGTGGCTCACGGCAGCCCGACCCCCCTATCCCAACGTGTAAGGGTCCACGTTTAGTCCATCGCGGGCTGGCTGCCTCACGCTACACCCCGTCAACTTTGGGATGGGGGGGCGGCGGCTACAGATGTTTGTATGACTTATTACCCAACAGTTTTTGCTGATAGGTTTCTAGTGGGATCAAAAGAGAACATCTTGACGCCCCAAGGGGGTCTGGGCGGGATCCGGACAAGGAACCAGACAAAAGTGCAGCCCCAGGAATCCTTAGGAATCCTTAGGAATTCTTGAGGATCCTTGGGAATCCATTCCCAGAACACTATTCCCAGGCCACATTTTGAATGTCCGGAGCCAACTGTAGGCCACTTCGTGTTCTTCGTGTTCCCAGAACACCATTCCCAGGCCACATTTTGAATGCCCGCAGCCAACTGTAGGCCACTTCGTATTCTTCGTGTTCCCAGAACACCATTCCTGTACCATAGTTTGATTGCCGGGAACCAACTGTAGGCCACTTCGTGTTCTTCGTGTTCCCACAACACAATTCCCAGAGCACATTTTGAATGCCCCGAGCCAACTGTAGGCCACTTCGTGATCTTCGTTTTCCCAGAACACCATTCCTGTACCATATTTTGATTGCCCGGAGCCAATTGTGGGCCACTTCGTGATCTTCGTGTTCCCAAGTCCTGTGCCATATTTTGAATGCCCGAGCTGAGGCAGGCTGAGGCCGAGGCAGGCTGAGGCCGAGGCAGGCTGAGGCTGAGGCTGAGGCACGCCGAGGCTGAGGCTGAGGCAGGCTGAGGCTGAGGCAGGCTGAGGCTGAGGCAGGCTGAGGCTGAGGCTGACGCAGGCTGAGGCCGAGGCAGGCTGAGGCTGAGGCTGAGGCAGGCTGAGGCTGAGGCAGGCTGAGACTGAGGCTGAGGCAGGCTGAGGCTGAGAGGGCTGAGCTGAGGCTGAGGCAGGCTGAGGCTGAGGCTGAGCAGGCTGAGGCTGAGGCTGAGGCAAGCCGAGGCAGGCTGATGAGCTGAGGCTGAGGCTGAGGCTGAGGCTGAGGCTGAGGCTGCAGGCTGAGGCTGAGGCAGGCTGAGGCTGAGGCTGAGGCTGAGGCTGAGGCTGAGGCCGAGGCAGGCTGAGGCTGAGGCCGAGGCAGCCGAGGCAGGCTGAGGCTGAGGCTGAGGCTGAGGCTGAGGCAGGCTGAGGCTGAGACAGGCAGGCTGAGGCTGAGGCAGGCTGAGGCTGAGGGCTGAGGCTGAGGCCGAGGCAGGCTCAGGCCGAGACAGGCTGAGGCTGAGACTGAGGCTGAGGCTGAGGATGAGGCCGAGGCAGGCCGAAGCTGAGACAAGGTGAGGCTGAATGGGGGGGGGAAGGGGGGGGAGGGGGGGGGGAGGGGAGGCTGAGGCAGGCTGAGGCCGAGGCAGGCTGAGGCCGAGGCAAGCCGAGGCAGGCTGAGGATGAGGCTAAGGCTGAGGCTGAGGCAGGCTGAGGCTGAGGCAGGCTGAGGCTGAGGCTGACGCAGGCTGAGGCCGAGGCAGGCTGAGTCTGAGGCTGAGGCAGGCTGAGGCTGAGGCCGAGGCAGGCTGAGGCTGAGGCTGAGGCAAGCCGAGGCAGGCTGAGGCTGAGGCTGAAACTGAGGCAGGCTGAGGCATCCGTAGGAATCCATCATAATCCTTAGGAATCCCTCGGAATCCTTAGGAATCCGCAGGCATCCTTAGGAATCCGTAGGCATAGTTAAGCATCCTCAGGAACCCTTAGGAATCCTTAGGATTTCCTAGGAATCCTTAGGAATCCATAGGAATCCCTAGGAAACAGGATTCCTAGAGATTCCCAAGGTTTCCTAAGGATTCCCATGGATTCCTAAGGATGCCTAAGGATGCCTTAGGAATCCATAGGAATCCGTAGGATTCCATTGGATCCTAAGGCCGTTGCCACTGCGACTGTCACTGCGAATGCGACTGCGACTGCGAGAACAGCAGAATTCTACTACAACTGGATTCTCACCTGAACCTTAAGGGGAATGCTTCCAGACATGCTTATACACATCGCTGTTAGGTTGCTTTGCCGGGGCAATTTTGATGTCGCGCTGTCTTCGTGCGACGGGTGTTGTCTCCTTTAGTCTGCCCACCGTAGAAGAATATCAATGTCCCTCCTCCCTCTTCATGCCTGCTTCAACCTCATCCCCTAGTTCCATCCTCCTTCCGTAGAAGTGGCCCCTCTTCGTCGCATCACTAGACGGGTGGGTCGGGCAGACTCGACGTTTTGCTGGAGGTTTCTTCACCACTTGCGACGCTGCAGCAAGACATTCCACCAGTTGTATGGATGTAGCGCGGATCGTTTCTAAACATGGGGCTCTGTTGTTGGCGCCGCGCGCGCTCGTCTTAACAACTTGCAGTATTTGCACGGATGGAGTGCACGTTCTTTTCAAAGTTGTGTTTCTCGGCTTAGCGCTGCGCGCATTCGTCTTGCATGTTTCTATCATGTGCACGAGTGGAGGGCGGGCAGTTTTCACCATGTGGCTCTCGCCACAGCGCTTTGCGCATTCGTTTTCACAAACTCCAACAGCTGCAAGGATGGTGAGTGGCTTCAATTCAAGATTGGTCCATCGCTGTGGACTTTCTCATGGTGCATCTCGATCAAGTCGAAGCTGTGCGAGAGCTCCACGGGTGGATGGTGGCTGCTTTTCAACATTGGGATCTAGCCGGAGATATCTGAAACTTGAATGGCCAGGAACTGAGCATTGCGCACCATGTGCGTTGACGGGCGAGCTTCCTGCAAGGGCACTGGAGTGTCAAAGAAGTTAAGGACAACTGTGCCAATCACCAACACAAAAGCCACATCTTGAGAACCATCCGCCCTCCGTCCGTGTAAAATGTCGAAGCACTTTAAAACATTAGCCTGGCGAAGGGCCCAACCATACGCAATTGTGGATACAGCAATTGTGAATACCATCTTCGGCCGCGCTCCCTATGTGGCCACGGCTTCCCGCTGGAGCCCGACATGCTCAGGGACACGGTTGTGGCCGTCTTCGCGGGCGCCGACGACGGCGAGGACGGCGTCCCCCTGACCGAAGAGCAGAAGCAGGAACGGGTTCTGAGAGCCATGAGGGAGACTGCCATTGGCGCCTTTGGTGGAGCTCCTATGGGGCCACGATCCTCGTGGGGGGTGTGCCGAGGCCGCCATGCGAACCCTGCCACTGGCGCCTTCGGTGGAGCTCCCTTCGGGGCCACGATCCTCGTGAGGGGTGTGCCGAACTGGCCCGAGGCCGCCATGCGAACCCTGCCACTGGGGCCTTCGGTGGAGCTAGCTCCTTACGGGGCCACGATCCTCGTGAGGGGTGTGCCGAAATGGCCAGAGGCCGCCATGCGAACCCTGCCACTGGGGCCTTCGGTGGAGCTAGCTCCTTACGGGGCCACGATCCTCGTGAGGGGTGTGCCGAAATGGCCAGAGGCCGCCATGCGAACCCTGCCACTGGGGCCTTCGGTGGAGCCCCCTACGGGGCCACGATCCTCGTGAGGGGTGTGCCGAAATGGCCCGAGGCCGCCATGCGAACCCTGCCACTGGCGCCTTCGGTGGAGCTCCCTATGGGGCCACGAAACGCTGTACTTGGTGGGTGAAACGCAGGGAGGGAAGAGGAGGGAGGAGGCAGCGGGAGGAAGGAAGGAGTGACGCGGGGCGCTGTCTCTTCAAAACGAGGACCCAACACCAGAGGATGGTTGGGAATGATGATGGCGATGCTGATGATGATGATGAGAGGAGGGGGGAGGGGCCAGCGGGAGGAGGTGAGACGCGGGGCGCTGTCTCTTCAAAACGAGGACCCAACATCACAGGATGGTTGGGAACAATGTACGCGGCACTGGGACGATAACCACGCTTTTAAAACCATCCCGCACCCATCCGTGTAGATGATGAACATGTTACGCTCCCGGGTAATTCATTGCAGAGACGCCTCAAGCGAAATGCCTGGCCTGGCTACGGACATCTCGGGTGGTGTTAAGGAGGAGGAGGAGGACGAGGAGGAGGAGGAGGGTGAGGGTGAGGGTGAGAGTGAGTGTGAGGATGAGGGTGAGGAGGAGGAGGAGGAGGAAGAGGAGAGGAGGAGGAGGAGGCAGGAGGAGGGGAGGAAGAATGGAGCAAGGGGAGGAGGAGGAAGAGGAGAAGGAGGGGAGGTGAGGAAGAAGGATGAGGAGGAAGAGGAGGAGGAGGAGGAGGAGGAGGAGGAGGAGGAGGAGGAGGAGGGAGGAATATGGAGGAGGAAGAAGAGGAGGGAGGAATCTGGAGAAGGAAGAGGAGGAGGAGGAGGAGGAGGAGGAGGAGGGGGAGGAGGAGGAGGAGGAGGAGTGACCGTAGCATGAGGCGCGAGGAGGAGGAGGAAGTGGGGGAGGAGGAGAAGGAGGAGGAGGATGCATAGGAGGAGGGAGGATGGGGGAAGGAGTAGGACAGCGAGAAGAGCGAGGAAGAACACGAGGCCGGGAACGATAAGGGTGTGATGTTTGCTCCCTCAGGTGGCGTTAGCTGCGCGGCGGCGGACTCAAGCTGAGGAGAAGGAGCCACTACTCGCGCTCCGCTTGTCGATCTTCCGATGGGTCTGAGATGTTACCGCAAACGCCATCCTCTTCTCGGAGCCGTCGATATTATCTGGCGGCTGAAAGGCGCTATCGAACGCGGACTGAGCTATGGCCTGCAGGTCGTCAAACTTCTGCAAGACGTCCCAATCTCTTGGCTCGTCGTCAGCCTCCAGCACGCTCATGAGTTCGCGGGCGTATACACAGCACGCGTCGTGCAACTCGGCGTATTGTATGATGCAGCCGCGGAAGCTGCCGCTGGATAACACCAGGAACTCCGACGCTGTTTTGCAGCTGAGCCGGCTGGAGTGGGCAAAGCGAATCCAGAGGGCCAGCTCACAGAAGACACTGGGTCCGCATTCGGAAGTGAACTGGACGGGCTGCGCCTCAAGCTGGCTCCCCTTGAAGTAGTCCACAATCCCACCTAGCAAGAATAGCATGTCAGAAGCATCGCTCCCTGGGCTGAAGACATCCCGCGCTAGGTCGTAGAGCACCTCGGTGATCGCCTTGTAGCAGATGTCCAGCAGCGCCTGCGGCACGTGCTCGCTAATCTGGAAGAAGAAGTGGTGCGCGCTGATGATCTCGTGATGAGCTTCCCAGCGCAGCTGGTACTTCATGGACGTTGGCAGGACGGAGAACACGTCAACGTCCGACTCGATGATTCTCTTCTTGGCCATGAAGTTGTGTGCCTTGATGAACTCGCCGATCCTGAGAGCACCAGGAGAACGAGGCAGACATAATCACTCGGACGTCTGTGCGGACTTCCAGGGCCGGCACTGGGCCCGCATACTCTAGAATGATAAGCGAGGAAAGCGCCAGCAACGGCGTTTCCGCCCCCTTCTCCCAGGGAGGCAGCCCGCGCGCCCAGGCGGGGGCGGACTGCCTCAGCCTCCAGAGCAGCCGAGCCCAGGCGGGTGCCGCTCAGGACGCCCCCTGCCTCCTCTGCGCGAGCAGCTGCGCGAGCCACGCGCGGGGGGATCGGCGCCGGAGGCGCCGCCAGGGGTAGCGAAGGAAGGGGTCCTGGCGCCGACCCAAGAACTCCGTGCGGGCCTCCGCACACTGATGCTCATTCTTTTCACCCCTTGACTTCCTGTTGCTCAGGTCCAAGCTGATTCTCTTGCTCAGGATGTACCGCCGGAGGTTCTCGAGCTGGGAATACTTACCCGCTGCCGCGCTTCGCCGCGGCCGCCGGGTGTTGGGCCCCCTTGCTAGTTCTCTTGGCTCTGTGCAGCCCTTTGATCCATCCGATTAGAAAGTTACGCCAACACCGACCGAATCAATGGGGCGTTCATGCCCTCCCTTGGATGGTCTGCTGGCTCTCCAAATTTCTCATATCTTCTACCGCGAACTGGCGCCCGGCCCAGATGGGCCAGACATGGCCGACGACCAGTCCACAGCTGCTTCCTGATCCGCCTTCTCGAGGCCCCCCGAGGCCTAAGGAGAGCCAAAACCGCACCATTGGACATAGATCTTCGATCCTCCCAGACGACTGGCGGCTCAACTTTTTTGAGACGTGGGCCCCCAAACCTCCCGACCCCTTCACCAGGACGGATGTGTCATCCTGGGCTGTTCTCTGCGGCCCCGGGGCTGGCAACGGGCACCCAGACGCCGAAAACAATTGCAAATCGGCCGTCTCGCTTTTGCTCGACAGCGGGAAGCCTGGCGAAGCACTCGCCTCAGAGACGGCTTCTGGGTGAATATGATCCGTCATGACGCCCTTCAGGGAGATCCTGATCCTAGAGTGTGACAAATCTGCTGAGGCTTTCGGAGGTCCGCGCGGTTTTCTTGGAGCGGCGTTGGATCCCCCTACCTGGCTTGCGAAGCGCGCCAGGGGCGGCGCCGCAGGCGCCGTCTGGGGGGGACCAGCGCAGATACAACAAACTGCGCGGACCTGCGACAGTTTTTGTGCTTATGCAGATTTTCTTCTTCGAGACTCGAAGACAAGTGGCGTGGCTCGCGGATGGCCTCCTCGACGCGAAATCCGCGAGGACTGGCCCCAAGACCCCCCGTCTGAGGCCTGCCCTGGAGGCCTCTTCGGGCTGGGTCCGGGCAGCGGCCGCGAGAGGCTCCGGGAAACGTCCAGAGACCTCCGAGGCCTTTGGATCTCGAGAAGAGACTACGAGGGGCAGCCCAGGATGGCTGGAATCCATGTCGTCACGTACGCCCGCCTAGCCCATACCTCGCCCGAGAAGCTTCCGTGGACTCCTCACCTCGTCTCGGGGTCGGCGGAACGGCGCAAGCCACTTGAACATGAGGGGCACCGATATGGGGGGGTGTTGGCTCAGGGGGGGAACCACCGACCTCGACAGATCGGCGTTAGGCCCCGACAAGCGAGTCCGCAAGCTCCTGGGCGGGGAAGGTGGGAGGGCTATCGGGCCCCTGTTGGCGATGATTGGTCGATTGGCGGTGGATGCATCCCCCCTGAGCCTATCCCCCCCCCAATGCTGCCCCTGAGAATATAAAAAACGAAGCATTCCTCCGACGGTAGGACCCCGCATACATTAGAACATGTCTAGCTTGAGTGGGAGTTGTTCCCTCCAAGCGGCGATGACTCAACGATCTCTCAGACTGCAAACCGCCATGGCAATGTTGCCCCGCACCATGCATCGGAGGAGCACCTGGCCAACTACAGAAAACGTCACCAGGAGGAGGAGGAGGAGGAGGAGGAGGAGGAGGAAGAGGAGGAGGAGAGGACGAGTAAAAAGGGAGGTGGCGAGGACAGCAGCGAGGCAAGGGAGTCTGATACATGCGGTGTGTGTGTGTGTGTGTGTCTCTCTGTGTGTGTGTGTCTGTGTGTGTGTGTGTGTGTGTGTGTGTCTGTGTGTGTGTGTGTGTGTGCGTCCCCGCATGGCCCAACCGACCATTAAAATGACAAGGCATCACGCAACGACACGCGTACGGACTAGCGTAAGGGCATTGCACAGTACCAAAAGCAAGTTGCAGCCTAAGCGGCCACGCGGCTGATAGCAAATATGCCCAGATCACTATCGCACGGGAGGAATAAACAAAAAGGGGAGGGCGGAGAAACAAGAAGGGAGGTTTCTAGCTTGCGTTGGAATCTCCTCCTGCTCCCTCGTCCTATTTTTACCTCATCGCTTTTCTCCTGCGCAATCCTGTTTCTCTTGCCTGCTGTGTGCTCTTCCTACTCTTGCGTGCTCCACGTCCTGTCTCATCATCCTGCTTCCTCCTCCTGCCTCTTCCCCATGCCTCTTCCTCCTGCCTTCTCTTTTTTTCTCCTCCTCCTCTTCTTCCTCCTCCTACCAACCTGCCTACCTACCTACCTACCCACCCGCCCACCCACCTACCTACCGACAAACCGACCCACCGACATACTGACCAACCGACCAACCGACCTATTGGGTTACCGACCTACCGACCTACCGACCGACCGACCGACCTACCTCCTCTTCCTCCTCCTCCTCCTGCCTCCTCCTGCCTTCTCCTCCTCTTGCCTCCTCCTGTTCCTCCTCGTCCTCCCTCACATCCTCCTCCTCCTGCCTCCTCCTGTTCCTCCTCGTCCTCCCTCACATCCTCCTCCTCCTCCTCCTCCTTGTCCTCGTCCTGCCTTTTCCTGCCTCCTCCCCCTCCTCCTCCTGCATCATCCTGTTGCCTCCTCCTCCTCCTTCTCCTCCTACTGCCTCCTCCTCCTGCCTCCTCCTCCCCCTCCTCCTCCTCCTCCTCCTCCTCCTCCTCCTCCTGGGCACAACCTGGCGAGCGGCAGAGCCTGTCGCTCGTCAGCCTGCAGAAGTCGCACGTGGCCGAGGGCGCACCTTACAACCACCGTTGGCCACGCGTGAGCGGACAGAGACCGCATGCGCCCCCTCTCACCCCATCGGTCTGCACGGCCCCCGCGGCAGCCGCTGCTGCAGCCACGGCGAAGACCTTCATCCGCACAAGGGGCACTGGGGCGCACTGCGGCCTAAACGATCAAACGATCGAGACAGAGAGAGAGAGAGAGAGATAACTCGATAGACCTTACCATCGAGGCTCAATTCACGCTTGCTGGCCAGCCTTGTGAGCACCTTCCGCCCCCACTCCGTCGCCTGGGGGGGGGGAGAGGGGGCCGACAGGCTCGAGACACACGAGCAGCGGCAAAGCAAACACAGCGCAGACATCCAACTACGAACGGACCGCCCTGCTGTTGGATCTTGGCAAGGGCATGCACTCTGGACCCCTCTCCCGGCTTCTCCTAAGCAGCTAACGCACGACTGACCACGTCGCTGGGAAGGGGGGCCCTTGACCAGAATCAGCTGTGGCACTGGCGGCTTGCCTCGCATGTGACGCGTAGGACGACCGCAATCCTCCAAGCCGTCGCTGAGGCGCCCGATCCAAGTGCCCCAAGCTTTAACGACTTTGGCTCGCGCCTGCAGCTGCTCCCGTGCGCCGGACGCAAAACGGTGGAACGCAGCAGCACTCTTCGCAGCAAGGCCCGCCTTCGCATTGCCATACCTATGCCTGGCCGCGGTGCGTCCGAGGAGAACGTCATCCACGGTCGCATGGCCTTTGACCTTGGGGATCTCGAACCCATCCCCCCAGTCGTCCACCAGCCACCAGAACTCCCTCCAGAGATGGGCGTGCGCGGCAACGCAAGCAGTGGTAGCCGCCCGCCCACGCTCGTGGAAACCATCCACAGCAAGAGCACAATCAGTGAAGATGCGGACAGGTGGTGTCGCAAGCCGCAGAACGTGCGCGACAGGAATGGGCTCAGCTGCAAAAGTGCACTGCAGCGGATCAAACACAGGTCCTGAACAGAAGGCGACCACCTGGTTCCGATCAGGATGAAGCGCCGCGCACCCCCAGCCAGCACTCGCGAGAATCGGATGCGCCGCTTCAAAAAACCGAGCCGTCAGGATACACATCGCTAGTGGAGCAGTCAAGGCCTCCAATCCCCCAACAGACGGGCTGCCCAGGTGGCGGCCTCTCGATAACAGGAAACAACACTAAACAGCGGCCCGCAAACAAATGAGGGCAAGCGGTGACTGCGCAGCTGCCTGAGCCGCATTGGCTCTGAAAGCAAGGCCCCCTTCAAGGCAGTCGAGGCGCGCGCGCGAACCGCGTCTGTGCAAAAGCGTGTCCTCGGCGGAGGGGCGCAGCAGGCGCGCGGCCGTGGCGTCGTAACCTTCGGCCCACTGGCGCTTCCGAGGCCACTGGCCTCCCGCGATGGTGCTACGCAGGTGGCCCCTCTGCTGGGCCGTGAGCTTACTCCTGCTGCCGAGCAGGGCCTTCAGGGGGCTCAGGATCAGACCATTGTCGAACTCACGCTGGCCAAGATGGTCAGCAACTCTTGCAAGCTGCCAGCGCTCCACCGCACAAAACAAAAGCTCCTGGATAATGACAGGGCAGTAGTTGGCGGGGTTGATGTTGGCCCCATCAGGCCGGATCCAAGAGGTAGCCGAGGTAGCCGCGACGCCAATCTGCTGCAACGAGGCCCAGAGAGCTCCGCAGGGGCCCCCGATAGAGGACCAGGGGTGCTCCAGCCCAGACATGTTCCCACGGGCCTGACGGATCCCGAAGTCTAACGCATCCCTGGGGAGCCGCGCCACAGGGCATGAAGGAAGGCCTTGACGGGAAGCCCCGTGGCCCTGAAGATGGGGTCCAGACGGGGCACAGGAGACAGTAGCAGAGCCAAGGTGCGAGACTTGCCATCCTGGTGATGGTCTTGCAGCTTCCCAGCCGCGCCTCGAAGGACCTCCAGCCCCTTGCCATTCGTGCCCATGACCGAAGCCCCATGCACCACCGAGGCCTCCAAAGACGCTCGAGTCATATGCCCGAGCACACGGCGACGGGGCTTAGAGCCCTTCAGGAAGTTCATCCGAACCAACCTGGGCCGCATGTCAGAAACGCGCCCACGCGCGGTGCCACGGCTGGCCACCAACCCCGCACCGAAGTCCACGCCGAGGTTGCGCTCGGACCGAACGGGAAGGGGCTGGAGGCTCTTAAGCTTACGAGCGATAGCGTTCCTCACCACCGCCGTATTCTCAATAACCCTGGACTTGTCCAGCGCGATGCGCATGTCGATCCTGCTCAGGCACCGGGCAGGCAGCTTGCCTGCCGCTGAGATGTCGCCGACGACTCGCGACTCCGTGCCCCAGCGCATGAGGCCGAAGTCGCCAACTTTCACCGACAACTGAACTGCGGGCCGCGCGGCTTGCGCAGTA